TTTTGATAGAACAGTAGCAGTATAATGTCCTCGTAAGTGGATATCAGGCCCGTGTAGAGCAAAATTGAGTATTTTGGTCTAAATAACCCAAAATGTGATGTCCACACATGTGGACGTCAGGTCCTAGGAGGTTAATTTAGTTATTTAAATCAGTGGCCTTATGTCATTAACATAAAATGTAGCTGAAAGTCTGTCTTTTAGATTTGAGAACAATATCAACTTTGTGTTGAAAGTCAACACTGGCATATAACTACATATTAAATGTTGGACCTGTGTATCCCTACCTGGTAAAGTGTTTTATATTTCCAGTTTTTTGTTACCATTCAACTAAAGCCCTTTTACTTAATTGTCATAGAGATAAACTCTAAAGTCACTTCTGATTTCATTGTTAGAATAACATAAAAGGCTTTATGCACTATTTCCTTTTAATTAGATACTTTGAGATTAACTGAAAAAGCTGTAGAAATCAAAACTTTTAGAGAAAAGTTAGCTGTATGCTTTTGTTTTGTTTTTTTTCTCCCTCACATGTCACATGAGATGCTGTATTGCACAAAATGTTTAGACAAACTAAAGCAGACTTTGTGGTTCAGCAGTGGTAGCAGTTTCGTAGCCTGTGGATGGCCTGTCCATCTGCACAGAGCTCTGTTTTCTATGGAGGCGATGTACAAAGTATGTGGTATAACCAGTCTGTGGGCTGTTGTTGGTCCATGGAGAAGTTATAACATACAAAGAGCTGAAGTGAAACTGAGCAGCAGCTGTCTCTGCTTTTTGTACTGATTTTTGATCTAGCTTTGTAAACTAATCAGCATTCGGCAGACACATCATTTGCGTCCAGTAATGTGCAGTGGGGATTTTGGAAGACTGCACAGGAGCAGGTCTGGTGTTGGTTTAAAACCCTTTCCGCTCGCTGTCTGAACAGAAACATGTACGGAGACGAACACGTTTGCAGGACCATAATTTAGGCTTAAGAGTAAAAACCCTTACGTCAGAGCTTCCACCAGATATAGACCACTCAAATTAAGGATTCAGCCCCACTGTATTCAGTTAGTATAATTCGAAAATCATTTAATTGTGTAGCACTCTAAATAGAAACATTTCTAAGGCTTGCAATGCAAAAAAAACTTTTTCCAGACTTAGTTTTTCCCTGATATAACAGGACAAAATATTGGGACAAACCTGTACATGACATTTATCTGAAAGCAGCACATCCAACAAAAGCTGACTTTTGTGAAATGTTTGTGAATGATGGGTAATTAAACTCCATATCTGAGTAGGACCTTAGTTTTCCCCAAGCATGTTAAAAGCTATTAAAACAAACTAGTTAATTACTTCATTGTAGGGAATTGATGCAGCCTTTTGACCACAGCTATTGTTGTGATGTCTTCATTGTGCATAGCCTGCGTTAAGTAACTCTTAAATATTTGTTTCTAATTACAGAGACTGGGATGATCCCAGACTCTTCACTCTGACTGCACTGAGGAGAAGAGGGTTTCCCCCAGAAGCGATCAACAACTTCTGTGCACGAGTAGGCAAAATGAATGCAATGATGAACTTTTGGATGCCACAACAAGTCCCATTCATAAGTGCTGTGCTAACACTGTACACATCTCACAGGTGGGAGTCACAGTTTCCCAAACGACGACCGAGCCCCACTTACTGGAGGCGTGTGTGAGGGATGTGCTGAATGAAACAGCACCTCGAACCATGGCTGTGCTAGAACCACTCAAAGTCACCATAACGAACCTTCCTGACAACTTCAAGGTTTGTACATTGCTTATAAAACAAATTGCTTGACCTAGTATATTCTTTCACATTATATTTTAGGAGAAAATAATCCTTCTGTCTTCTCTTTCAGACAGATGTACGAGTCCCGGACTTCCCTGCCGACGAAGCTAAGGGCAGCCACACGGTTCCTTTCACGCGCACAGTCTTCATTGAACAAAGTGACTTCAGAGAGGTCAGAGAGGAGAAACCTCCAAATAAAGGATTTTAAAAAGCAGCAATTCTTTGTGCTCTTTTTGGTTTTGAGATGGGCAACGATTATGAGGTTATTCTCTTCTTTGGCAGGTCATGGAAAAGGGCTACAAGCGCCTGACTCCAGAACAACCTGTAGGCCTGAGGCATGCTGGGTATGTCATCTCTGTCCAGAAAATCATCAAGGTAAGACTCAGTTTCACCAAGTAGACAATATAAAATAAAATTAAAATGTGTTTTCCATGCTCTAATCCTGTAAAAACATAAACAGGCCCTTCAAACTTTTCTTCATCACAATATATTTGTGAAGGTTTTACATATATCTGTCCAGTCAAACGACATAGTTTTATAAAAATATGATCTAGTTATATTAAACAAGAGGTTGTATTCTAGAATATTCAATTGCGGCAGTAAAATGTCATTATTACTTCATTATCTGGTTTATGACCCACATGTTGCTCTGAACCATTTCTCAGGACACTCAGGGCAAAGTGGTGGAACTGGAGGTGACCTGCTGCAGTTCTGAGACGGCAGAGAAACCGAAGGCCTTTATCCACTGGGTCAGTGAGCCACTGGTGTGTGAAGTGCGCCTCTATGATAGACTGTAAGTCACAAACAATTACCCATCATTCACAAACATTTCACAAATAATATAACTAGAGAATTCACCTAATCAAGTATCTTCTTGTATCTGTAGCTTCTTGCACAAACATCCAGAAGATCCATCTGAAGTGCCTAATGGCTTCCTGAGTGACATCAACCCTGTGAGTATCTCTGAACTACAACAGAAGGCTTTTGAAGTGTCAGCAGTCACATCGATTTCTTAATTTGTTTCTTCTTTTTTTTTTTAAATTTAGGATTCCCTGCAAGTGATCAGTAGTGCCTTAGTGGACACCTCAGTCAAGAGAGCAAAGGTTTTTGATAAATTCCAGTTTGAAAGAGTCGGCTACTTCTCCGTGGACTCAGACAGCACTGCAGATAAGGTACGGAAAGATTTTTTTTTATTTAAAACGAGGTTTGTACAAATTTGTGGAAGCTTCTATTTCAATTAACTTTAGTTAATTCTTTGATAGTCTTGGTCTGGATTAAAAACATTTATGCAATATGAGCTGAAACCTTTTTCCTTCTTTCACTGCAGCTCATCTTCAACAGAACAGTTACCCTGAAAGAAGACCCTGGGAAGATCTGATTGATTTGAGATTAAGCCACTCTTCCTGCTTCAGAGATGCATGTTCAGATTTGCTTGCATTACATCAATGTGTAATATCAGCAAAGGCACAGACTGAGTCAGATGAGATACTGGAATATTTTTTTCAGGGATTTATCACTCAGAAACGAAACAAAATTATATTCCTCAGCTATGATCTTATTCATCACAAAAGCGCTGCAGCATGACTTTGACCTAGCTCATTTGCTCAGTAATCATTAAGTCTTTTTTTTTTCTATACTTGCCACAATAATATTCACTTACAGTGTTTTCTCTTGTTTGTTGAATGGATGAAGCTTTCATCATTGTTCAACAAGGGCTGTTTGTGTATATTATGTGAAGCTGGTGTTACACATATGTGATGCTCTCAAATGCCACACGTGACTTTTTTATATATATAGATTCAGAGGCTGCCAAAGCATCATGTTTTTTAAGACTAGGCAGATTGAACATGTGTCCTTTTGACTGGAGCAAAGAATAAATAATTCTACAAACTGCAGCGTCCATGTGTATTCATGCTGGTTCGGGATACTTAGTTTTGTGTGTGTGCGTGCGCGTCGGGGGTTCTATCAGTATTAATATTGAGTATTTTTCTTAGCTGGAATGCTTATTAAGAAGGAAGGAACATAACAATAACCATTGAGAAAAAATATAATACTGGACCACTATTGATACCTACTAAGCATGTTAGTGGTGCTTGCAGTGCAACCTGTGAGCCCATGGTGGACCTTGGAGACATTTTTATATTGCTTGTGAGCAACAGCAAGAATGAACTGCTATACAGTTGATGTCATGTTGTAACATGGCAGCAAAAACTCAAGACTAAGACAACAGCTGCCTTCAGTTTTTCTACACTAGCTGTTATAGCAGACAGTTTAATGTAAACACAATAACCTCAATAATGGCTAAGAAACTTCTATTGGCTGTTCCCTTAAGAGGTCAGCACAACAAATCATCAGCCTCCATTTCCCACTATCCCAAGCTGTCCTTTTCATATCAGCCCTCTGCATGTTCACCACAACTACATCCATGAACCTCTTCTGAGGTTTTCCTCTTGCCGGGAAGCATATTCAGCATCCATTGTCCAGTATAGTCACTGTCCTTCCTCTTCACATGTCCAAACCATCTCAGCCTTGCCTCTTTATCACCAAACTGCTTAACCCGAGTTGTCCCTCTTATGTGCTCATTTCTAATCTTGTCCATCCTGGTCACTCCCGATCTTAGCATCTTCAATCCTGCCACCTGCAGCTCTCGCCTTCCTGGATATTCTTCTTCCATCTGAAAACATAGTCCACGGAGACTCCTGACCTAATTTGTCAACCTGTCCATCATCGCTGCAAATAAAGAGAGCCAATTCCTGATGTAATCCCATCACCACCTTGAACCCATCTAGCCTTTGACCACTGTCTCACTATAAGACACACTAACCAGGCAAAGTAGTATAAAAAGTAAAAGGATTTTATGTATTGGTACAGACTCCAACCTTCATTCTCCTCCACTTTTCTAGTAAGAGAAAACTGAAGCATACAATTAAGAAGATGTGGTCCATAACAAATGTCAGTGTGGGAGCAGCAGACCATGCTGAAGAGCAGTGCGTGGGAATTAACCCTCAGTTGCCCAGAGCCCTCTGAATACCACCCAGGTATTCAGCACATCTCCGTGGGACCACCTTAAAAGATTGAGAAGCCAGTGAACCACTAGGAGCGTCTGTCTGGTATAACTGTGTTTTAAGGTGGACTGACATCTACTTGATCTTGCCAGCTACCTCCACTGTGTGTGTCGCCTTTAACAGACAACCCTAGAAGTGTCAGTTACCGCGATATCTTGAAGAGGAGATCCCGCGATAGCACACCGAGTTGCAACTCGTTTGCTTATTGGTCTGAGGGTACTGTTGTAAGATGGCGCCCAACGAAATATGAGTGGTCTACAGAAAGAAAAACTGCAGCTAACCATCTAACGAAAATCGAGGGGAAATAAAGAATAACCCAGCCACAGAAAACACCGAAATCACTTCGATTTCCTGCTTGTTGTAAGAGGAGTGGCGTTTCGAGGGCAGAGAAGCGGCTCAGACCTCGGCCCGGTTGAGGAAGAGAGGTAGCTAACGCGCCCGCTAACGTTAGCCTGCTGGCTTTAGAGAAAACAGAAAAAATGTAGTCGGTGTAACGTTACCGATACAAGAGAGCTAGCCGAGCTGCCGCTGCTTCCTGTTTAGATGTCGCCTGCGTGGATGCCGACGTGTGCCTGTTTGTGTGTACGGTGGCGTTTATACGCGTTTCCAAACACAGCTGTGACTGCATCTGATTTGCAAACAACACGCGGCTAGTTAGCAGTGCACCTGGCTAACCTAGCGCCTTGTGTAATCAGCTGTTAGATTGGCTGCTTTCAAAATATCGACCCATACGTTTAATAATAACACAGTTACTGTTTAAAACTTGCATATTTTCCTTATGCAGCGCTTTCCATCGGTGGCTTGAATACTGCATCAGATTTGGAAAGTGACCGCGCTTTTGTCCCAGCTCGTTTTCACTCAGTCAGAATTAACCCTTTCCTATTACTATCGCTGTGTGCTGCAGCTGGACAGTGAGCTGTAGGTCAGTTTGTAAACACTATTGAAACCGATGCCAGCGCAGCGATTATCATCTTCTGTATTTAATGCATTTGAGAAATGAATGGAGAAGTGTATTGTACCGATTTTAAGAATAAGGGTGATGTGCAAAGCTGTAAAATATAAAAGGGATAAACATGATAGGCCGTACTTTGAAGATACGGGAAAGAGTTGTTGAAGCTCTGTTAAAGAGAGGGACCATCGGCGAGCAGCTCTATGACTTCATCCTACGAAAGAGCACTATAGGGTGTTTACCTTGAAGGTGTTGATGACGACGTAATAGAGACGGTTTGTACTGGTGATGGACAGGCTGACAGATGAGGTCAGGCAAGAGTCTCCGTGCACTGTGATGGCAGACGACATTTGTAGTGAGAGCAGGAAACCGGTGGAGGTATGATCTGGAGAGAAGAGGAATGAAAGGCAGTTCAAGGAAGATGGACTACATATGTGTGAATGAGGGGGAGACAGATGAAAAGATGAAGCTGCAAGGAGGAGATGCAGTAAAGGTGGATAGGTTTATATACCTGTGGTGTACCATCCAAAGCAAGGGACAATGCACAAGAGAAATGAAGAAGAGAGCACAGGATTTATGATAGCAGGAAGAGTAAAAGACAAGAATTACAAGATGGCAGTGACATCTGCTATGATGGATGGTTTGGAGACACTGGGACTGAAGGACGGGATCAGAAATGAGTGATTCAAGAGGCAAAGTTGGAGAGGTGGTTTGGACATGTGCAGAGGAATAGTTGGTAGACAGGATAAAGGATATTCAGTATGGAGCTGCCAGATGGGAGGAAAAGGGGAGGACCATAGACAAGATTCATGGCTAAAGTGAGGGAGAACATGCAGGGCATTGGTGTGGTGGAGGGGGATGCAAGGACTATGGTTAGATGGAGGAAGATACTCTGCTTTGGCCACCCCAAGAGGGAGCGGCTGAAAAAAAGGATGATCTTTAGTACATCTGTGTTGTCAAGCGTTACTGAAATTTCTGTTCATGTTACTGTTAATGGGCTTTGATTTAAAACTGTGCTAAATTAAATTAACTTTCCTTCACAGGAGAGAAAACTGTCAGCAGCGATGAATAACTCACTGGACGGTACAGGCTCCTATGAGGAGCTAGTTAGGCAGAAAGCTCGTAGCATTCCTCAGCATCGCATGAAGGAGTTCCTGGAGTCCCTGGCCAGCAAAGGTCCAGACGCCCTGCAAGAGTTCAGCCAACAAAGCGGAGACACTACAACCACTACCACTACTATGGTGTACCAGCAAGAGACTAACTGCATCTACACAGACAGCACAGAGGTGGCAGGGTCATTGCTTGAGCTGGCATGTCCGGTAAATAACTACTCTAAATGATTAAAACCCAGTCTTTAAAAAGATTAAAAAATGAAGATTGGACTGCTTTCTGATGCAGGTGCAGGTGCAGGTCCAGCCACAGCAGCAACAGATACAGGAGAACACGTCTCAGCAGCAGCCTGTGCAACAGAATACAGAGCAACAGATAGTACAGGTCTGTACTTCTATTAGGTCTTTGTGCTCTGTATATCATTAAACTTGTTAATAATTAATTTCCCGAACTGCTGGCTTTTATTTTCAGGTGCAGATCCAGGGTCAGCAGCAAGGTCAGATGCTGGGCCAGGTTCTTCAAGTGCCCTCTGGCTCCCATCAACAGCTACAAGGTGTGACTACTGCACAGCTGATTCAGTCTGGGGAGCTTACAGAAGAGCAGCACCAACAAGTAAGTACAAAACAAATTCTCAGGATTGCAAATATTTAGTCAGTCACTTTGAATTTAATATTTTTCATCTTTACACTGGTATTAGCTGCAAGCGCAGTTGGTGGCAGCTGTTGCAGGGGGACAGCAGATCCAAATTCAGACAGTGGGGGCCCTCTCTCCCACCCAGCATCAAGACAGTGCAGAGAGGAGATTAATGGGAACTACAGTTGCCACATCTCAGGGGGCAGGTGTCCTCCAGCCAGCTAAGAAGCGTAAAGTGGACATGCCCATCACTGTTTCCTATGCCCTACCTGCCCAGCAGGTAGCCACAGTCCTGGCTATCCCTCAGGCACAAGGTCAACAGCAAAGTTATGTATCTCTGCGGCCAGACCTCCTAACTGTGGACAGCTCCCACCTTTACAGTGCCACAGGCACTATTACCAGTCCCACAGGGGAGACCTGGACCATCCCTGTGTATTCTGCACCTACTGCATCTGGAGGCCGTGAGCAGGTAACGCATATTGCCATCCCCCAGGAGGCTTATGGAACAGTGCAAGTTGCGGGAACAAACACTACAACAATGCCAACACAAGTTACTATTGAAAATGACAAGCTGAAAATCCCTGCCAGCCAAAGCCAGACAGCACAGGCTGTTTCCAGCATAACAAGCTCTGGAGCCATGGGAAGCCAGGAAGAAGTGGTGCACACGCTGGCCGCAAACACACTGTTCCCTGCTCAGTTGATGAATGGAAACATCCACATCCCCGTGGCAGTACAGGGCTACTCAAATGCTACACAGTCCCTTATTTGGGACCCACAGCAGCAGGTGCTGCATACACAGGGGCTGACAGGACAGGACGCACAGCAGCTACAGGTAATAACACAGGTATTCAGCTATGTTTATTTTCACTTTGAAATGTAGATATGGTAGTCCTCAGTGATTGAGATAACATTGTTTATGTGCTTATGCCTATGCAGGGTCAGACAGTCGTAGCAGAGGTAGATGGTCAAGGCCAGCAGCAGGTGCAGGTGCAGGAACTGCTGCTGCCTGCTACTTTGAAGCCAGAGGAGGGGCTGGAGGTGTGGCGGCTTTGGGCTCAGCGTAAAAATGCAGAATTGGACAAATCAGACAAAAATAAACTTGCGCCAATTGGCAGTAAGTGTGCATACCCAATGATTATACATGAGTTAAAATGTTTAGATAACGCATGTGTTGCCATTTCCTTTTCTTTCTTTCTTTTTATTCCCAGTCACTTTTTTTGTTTTGTGTATTTTAGGACGGCAGGCCCTGCGTTTTCAGGAGGATTTGGTGTCATGTGCAGTTGCTGAGCTCTGTATGGGTCTCTCTTTGATGACAACAGAGGCCCGGGGACTGGAAGGGGAGACTTATGAGGCTGATGTTCTTTACTATGTTTTTCTGTGCATACAAAAAGTAAGTTCACTGTGCAGGCTTGCCCCTTATCTTCATATCTTCACCCGTTAAATATTTGTTGATCTTTATCTGGTGTGTTAATACAATTGACTCCTCCTTTTTTCTTTTTTCTTCTTACAGTACATGTTTGATAATGGTCGTGTGGATGACATTTTCTCAGATCAGTACTACACCCGCTTTGCTCAGAGTCTACACCAGATCCTGGAGCCTTGGAGGCCATCTGTCCATCCACTAGGTGAGAGCAGCACGTGTTTACCAAAGCTCAGCTGTTTTCACACATGAACTCAGGATGGTGTCAGAGAATCAGCCTGGGATAATATACAAAGTTGCTATATCTCACGGGTAGCACAGCAGAAGATAATCTGCTTCAGATACATTCTCACTATTGGAATCCTTTGTTTGGATTAGGTGAAAGAGCGTGCATGAGTCAGTGCACAGTGCCTCCTTGGCTTGGTGTAAATTTTCCAGACAATTACTTGTGCTTTTCTCACATGGGTGCAATTGGACGTTACACAGATTTTGCACTAATGAGGTGGTGGTGTAAAGACAGCTTAATGTCTCATCTGACATTTGCATTTTTTCTGTTTGGTAATGTCTAGAAAAGCTCAGTGTAGTGCAAACGGTTCTAGTGTGTCTGTATTTACTTAGGCTCAGGGACCTGCCAGGCTTGCAGCACACTGGCAGAAACCCTGAGCTAGAGCTTGACTAATACAGGATCTTTTAAGCCCGATACCCCTATTTGGTGATTTAATAATCTGTCAGCCAATTTTTTTTTTTTTTTCACAAAACATAAACATATTTCCCAAATATTTGTTATGTGCAGTTACTTATGAGTCTTTACTAAGATAAGATCACAGTGCAGTTTAAAAATAAACTTAACTTCGTCACGGGACTAGTCGTTTAGGCTCTGATCAATACATTAAGATCAGCTGGTTGTTGTTTGCAGTGTTCCAAGTATATTTTTCTAACAGGGCAAAGTGCCCTCTGGTGGATAAACTATGCAACATAAACACACAGCATTTTTTTCATTTTTATTTATTGGTTGTTATAAATGCTGATAGTGATATATTAAAAACTAGCAAAAATCAACAGATATATCATACAGGCTCTGACCTGAACTGCATATTAATTTAACTGCTGCTGTGGTCATGTTAAGAGCAGAATGTAATATACCTAACAAGATGTTCTACATACAGATGCTTGTTATTTTAAAAGTCTGATCTCTGTTCTGTTTATTGTTACAACATTCTAATCCATAGTTTTCATGTGATGTCAGAGCAGGTACTTGTCCACCTGGCAGGCAAAATGGTCCTGTGCGGTCCCTTGACCTCTTCTGTGGGACTTTGGGCTATCGGATGCATTAAGCAACATTTGTTTATAGCTGCCAGAATGGTGTAGAGTATTGCACCGACGGGTCAAATTGCACCAATCCCTGCTTCTCCACAGCAACCCAGACTGTCAGTGGTGGCTCATGTAAACTGTAGCAATGATCTACCTGACGTTGGAAAAACACTCAGTCAGCTTTACTGTTATGACACGGCATTAATGTGACAAATGAATCCTAGTGTAACTTTTCTGGCCCTACACTGTAAAAGTTCAACTCAACAAAATGTAAGATTTATGTGTTGTAGTTTTTTTTGGGGGGGGGGGGTTGAGCTAGATATGTAGCGCTTACCTTTGCGTTAATTCTGAAAAATTTCTTGTTCTTCACCTCTCACATGACAGAATTATTTACCCATCCAGATCAAAATACACGTAGATGTCAACAAACTGCATCTGTGTGAGAGATGTCGCCACTTTTATGGACTTGAATAAAGCTGCCAGAACAGAATATTTATTCCATAAAATTTACATAAGTAGTCTTGGCTTGAGATTCAAGAGAGTCAATAAACCTCTTGCCCCGCAGTACTGCCATGCTTGCCCACCAGAGTAGTGAATTGGTCATTCAATTGAAAACGATGTATAGAATAAAATGAAGTGATGCTATTTTAAATCCAAGTCAGCTTCACTGGAACATCATATTGTTATGCATTATGGTGTTATACATTACAATTTTTAAATGTATAAGAGAAAGGTGACATGGTGACCTCAGGTCAGCGGTCCCCAACCCCCGGGCCTCGGAGTCGTTTGGTAAAAGGCTGCGAGAGTTGAGGCTCAGGTGTGAAATGTGTGGTTTTCAGGGTTTTTATCGGTTTTCAGCGTTATTTTGTTATCGTTTTGATTGTTAACTCAGTTTTCCTGGAACTTTTCACGTGTGTTATGACTAAATCTTCTTTTTTTCGGTACTAGTTTTATTTTGTTGTATTTATCCGCGACACATTAAAGGCCGGTCCGTGAAAATATTGTCGGACATAAACCGGTCTGTGGCGCAAAAAAGGTTGGAGACCGCTGCCTTAGGTCACATAATAAGATGATAGGTATGTGGATTGTATAGAATTTTTTTGCTACATCAATTTCAAGTATCTATAGCTTCTTTTCTGGAAAATTCATATTTGAAGCTTTGTTGTGTGTCATGGCTTCAACTTTGTGTTTTGTCAGAATCAGTTTTATTGATCAAATGTTTGTCTGCTGAAAGATCTCGATTCAGTTCCTTTTGAACTCTTAATTGAAGGTAGATTTAAATTCTGATCAGATGTCAGTGTAATTTGTAACTTCACTGATTGGCAAAGCATGTAGATGTAAGGTGGCAATTCAGTTTATTTTTTAAGTTCCAGACCTCCAACTTTGGAGCAGTTAGCGTTAATAAATACTATGTTTAGGTTTCTTTCTAACTGTTGATCTGGGCTTTGTTTCTTAGATCTATAAACTTTCTAATTGCAGTTACCATAAAGTTTTGTTCGTGGTGGTTATAAGGCGATGAAGCACCTTTTTTGTTTTTAAATTATTTTTTTAAAAATTTCCTCTAATGCAGCGGTCCCCAACCCCCGGGCCTCGGACCGGTACCGGTCCGTGAGTCGTTTGGTACGGGCCGCGAGAGTTGAGGCTCAGGTGTGAAATGGTTTTAAGGATTTTATCGGTTTTCAGCGTTATTTTGTTATCGTTTTTATCGTTAACTCTGTTTTCCTGGGTCTTTTCACGTGTGTTATGAATAAATCTTCTTTTTTTCGGTACCGGTACTAGTTTTATTTTGTTGTATTTATCCGCGACACCTTAAAGGCCAGTCCGTGAAAATATTATCGGGCATAAACCGGTCCGTGGCGCAAAAAAGGTTGGAGACTGCTGCTCTAATGTGTTCTTTGCCCTCTCCTGACAGGTTATGTTATTCCCAGTCATGTGACAGAGGAGATGTTGTGGGAATGTAAACAACTAGGAGCTCATTCTCCCTCGACACTGCTAACAACTTTAATGTTCTTCAATACCAAGTGAGTACCAAGTTAGGTGCTCTGAAGTGTAATGCTTACTGGAGTAACTTTATGTGGTTGTCTCATGCTTAAGTGGGCATGATAAACCCCTGTAAATAAGAGATACTCTTCATCTACAGCACAAATAACTCTTAACCCACAGAGCTACAAAATACTAAACGAGATTCTGCACCCTCCTGTACTGGCTTCATGGTTGCTTGCAATTCCTTTTTTTTTTCTGTTTCTACAGGTATTTCCACCTGAAAACAGTGGATCAGCATCTAAAAGTCGCCTTTTCAAAGGTGCTCAGGCACACCCGGAAGAGTCCCAACAATCCTAAAGATAAGAGCACCAGCATTAGATACCTAAAGTCGACAGAAAGGTTCATAGGGCAGAAAGGTAAGAGCATGCTGGGATTGCATTTGTGCTGCATTTCACAGGAAACCTTGCTTCTAAGGACAAACTAATGGAGACTGTATGAACACTTGTTTTTTCTTCAGTGACAGATGATATGTACTCAGAGCAGCTTGAGGACCCTGAGAACCCACTGCGGTGCCCCATCAAACTCTATGATTTCTACCTCTTCAAATGGTAAATGCAAAACACTATGAAGGACACTGAAGGGAATCGGTGAATGAGATATTAAGAAGTGTAAAATGTTACCTCAAAGAGATCATCTATGCAACCAGTAAAAAGTAAATACATTTTAAACAATGTGGTGCTTTTCATGCTTTTTCACTCTGGCCGTGGTTAGTGGTTGCCTCCTTTAAATAAAACTGCATTTCTGTTAATCATATGGGAAGCGGAGTATATAGAGCAGTTTGTGCTGAGGTTCTTAAAGGTGTGAGAACACTGTTGCTAGGCAACTGACAAAATATATATATGCTATATAACTTTTCTCTTGCTCTTCTCTCCAAAAGGTGACTAATTTTTTTTTCCTACTTTTGAGCATTACCAGTGATAAAAGCTACAAATGTTTGGCTTTCGTTGGCATTACATTGCAGTGGCACTCCATTGTTAACAAATGTTATGTTATTAATATCACATTAATATGTGATTTTGGTACCTTTTTTATTTCAGGAAATGGTGAAAATTCTTGGATTCAAGGGGCTGTATGGATATTGTCTTTTTTGTATTTATGGACTTTCAAAATTTGTAGTTGTATGATCCCAAACTGTGCTCTGTAATCAGTATGTGTACCGTAATTCACAAGATTAATGCCTGGATTTCAAACTGACCCCACACCGAGCATAAACTCCAGGGGATTTTTTTTTTTTTTTATGTACATTTGCCAGAGGTGACTGGGGATGACTGTTGTGCGAGACTCCTTAACTACTCTGGGCTTTTAATCGTTATTAGTCCATGCAGTACAGCCAACCAATGACAACAAAACGTATTTTTCTTTCTGTACTTCACATATTCATGAGAATTGTGATCAGATCATGAGCCAGATGAGCTACTGACGTTCTGGTTCCTCTTAAGGTTTACCAGAGAAGCGAGAGTACACCTGTGCCTCTCCACTGTTCTGATTGTGACACAGTGTGTTACACTTGGTTAATTTAGCTTATTTAATTTATTTGACATATTACTAAATTTAAGATTGTGGACATTGTTGTGTACTGTTTTGAGCATATAAGGTACTCTGGACAAGTTGAATCTTACCTGCTGTCCTGTTAAAAGGTAAAAATCTGTTGTGAAAGCAATCCTCACCACTAAACCTTTTGCCTCTGTTCCCACACAGAAAAGAATTGTATGCAGTTTTTTTTTTTGTAAGGGGGGGAATAAAACTAAACTTTGATTTGTTATATGAAGCGTTTCCTGAAAATGTCCTCACCATGTCCTCTTTGTCTCTTTCAGTCCACAGAGTGCTAAAGGTCGTAATGACACCTTCTACCTGACACCTGAGCCCGTGGTGGCTCCAAATAGCCCCATCTGGTACTCAACTCAGCCAATCCCAAAAGAACAGCTGGAGCAGATGCTCGCCCGCATCCTTGTTGTTCGTGAAATCCAGGAAGCCATTAACATGTCCGAGAACGTGCACTAGTTGGACTGAAGGAGAATGAAAAACGAACTCAGCTCTTCTTTCTTCACCAAGCCTTTGATTGCTCTTTATGAGTAGTTTTGTATACTCTCACACCCTCCTGTGGTCTTTAAGGGTGGCATGTATTGTATATGTTTATTTTCATTATGTGTCAGCATATCTCACACATACGGACTGTAAATACACGTACAACCAATAGATTGTTTGTTTTACTGAGGCAATCATTTTTTTTGTTTTGGCCAAAGGATTTAGTATCTAATCTTTTTATTGGACCTGAACTCTAATTTAAGTGTTATTTTTAACTGTTGGTTCTCTTTACCAACAGTCTGGAACAGCTTAATAATAATTTTCTTTCCTGTTTTGTTTTAACCTGTAATATATTTCATATATATATTTTCACTGGGGTTGGCCTGCGCTATGCTGCTTTTCTTAGACATCTCTTTTTTTGTTGCTTTAGTTTTCCTCTTTTGCCTTGGTCACTATTAAGTGTCACAGTGAATACCTCAGTGGTATTAAAACTGCATTAAGTAGCCAAACGTAGGCTAAGAGCTCATTTTCAAGTTGTGGGAGTTCTTTGTGTTTTACTCTTGCCTGTCTGGAACTGAGTTTTAATGCACACACTCTGAATTGGGAGGTGACTTACATTGTTTGCTTAAACCGCAGCACCACCTGTCGGACTCGCTCAGCAGCATCAAATAGGAGGACTTTAATCTGCTCCCGTTTTGATTGCAACAATGCGTCACTGCTCTGCTCGCATTTGCTACACGTTGGAGGTGCGGCTTTGGATGCTGACTGCTGCTGGACCTTCTTTTCTTCCCAAAATTCACCTGACGAGGCATCTGTTGTATTATACATGTCTATTACAGGAGAGGTGAAAGACTCTAAAAAAGTGGGTTAGCCGTTAATGTTCTATAATGTACAAAACTCATGCCTCCTTCATGTACTGTAATAGGTTCATCTAAGGAGAATGGCAGTGCCTGTGTGTTTTTTGAAACATGACCTTTTTGTACAGCCACTATACCATGTGTCTGCCTTTCTAGCCAGTCCAGTATGAAGTCTGCACATGCGTCTTTAAGTACCGATAGCCTGCATTGTGTGATTATAAGATGATGCACAATGATTTTTCAGGAAAAACAAAGAGCTGAATAAAAGTCATCTTACAATGGCACTTTATCAGTAGTCACAATAAAAATAAAAACTTTAAAAATGAGATAGAAAGACATGCTGTGCTAACATTAAATATTTTGTCGGTATCTTGTAGTATGTGCCAGTATATACAGGTACCAGCCTCAATATTTTTTTGCCAGGATGGGTAGGGTAGCAGGTTTGACCTGATTTCTTCTTCCTTGAATTCATTCTCTTCTAATGACGATACAAGCTGCTCTTTTATCTGCATGTTGTCAGGCCAGTTTTCTGCCTGCAGGGCCCGACCGCATACAGTATACACGTCCTTCTGTGAGCTGATGTATGATGGCAAAATTTTTATGTAGTCTTTCTTTACATGTATACATCTTCCAGCATGCCTGTTCAGTTGAAGTGTGTGGCTGGATTGAGCAGTGAAGAGGAAGGAAGTAATCGCCTCAGTAGGTTGCCCGGGTTTAAAATCTGCTGCATTGTGTTCTGTGGTGGGTCAGCTGCAGGTTTCTGTCGGGGTTGGTGACGGTGGCTCCTCCCCGATCGCGCTCTCCGTGCTGAGGAGCTCTTAGGCCGATCCTGGATGTCGTTGTTGGCATTTAAACTGGCTCTCTGGATCTGTGAGCTCCTATAAACAACAAGTTCCCACTTAGAAGTCGCAATACAATACAGAGATAAATGATACACTTCCACCATGCTCACCATGCTGAGGTTCCTCCACTGAGCCAGTGTAACAGACACTGATGAACAAACACGTACTGCTCCTGAATAGACACAGAACAATGGGAAAATTATGTGGATGCTCATCCTTATATTTGGCATGACTCAAAAGTGCGCAAAATATGCAGATTAGTAATAAATACAAGTATGTATTTTAGTACTTGCAATGCCTCATTACATATCAAGATTAATTTAATATTAATAATCTATGACATTAGATTTCTTATGTTTGATGACCTTGTACGGGTGAGCAGATTTGGGGTGTACAGAAAGTACTTCGTTTAGCTGCAGTTTGGCTGTACTTGTACTTAAGTATTTCCACTTTACTTGTACTTTATATTTTAACCAGACATTAATCAATTTAATCTGGCGTAGCTTTCATTTTCAGATCAAGATCTAAAAGACAGAACATCTGATCAGTTTATAAAATATGAACAGAAGGACTGACCAGAGTCTGGACCATCCACATTCGATGCAGACGAAGGTCCTGCACAGCAGCCTTGATATCAGGCCGGATACCCCTCGCACACAGTTGTTGCAGCCAGAGCAGTGTTACAAATGTTCCTGTCCGGCCAATACCTGCACTGAAATCACAAAAACAATTCACCATTCGACTGATAATTCATTATAAACGACAGGAACAATACTGACAAAGACATTGTTAGAGGTCACACCTGCAGTGCACCACAGCCGGTCCCAGACGAGGAATGGTTTCCAAATGCTGCCGCACATGCTCAGTGAAGACGCAGAGAGTAGATGGGCTCTTAGGGACTCCCCTGTCAGGCCAGGAGGGGTAGTAATAGTGTGTGATTATCCTGTCTGTTGGACAGTCTCTCTGAAACACAAACACCATAAGCGTTTATCTCTTTGATGGATTACAGGTATGGTCAATGCACACAGGAGTACGCTGCGGCAGGTTAAAGAGGGCACAGAGCATAATGCATGCGTCTTTCACTTACATGCCGGAGGTTAATGGTGGTGATAAAATAATCTGGCCCTTGTTTGCGAGTCACTGTTGTGACTTGGATGAGTCCATGATAAACTGTCCCTGGGTCCAGTGGCCAGTACTTGTCACAGAAAACCTGCACACAAAGAATGAATTGATAAGTTTAGAGCAAATGTCCTCTTTATCTATGTAAGTGAATGTGAATCCTCTAGAATAACCAGGTTACCTGCATTAACTGATCAGCTCCAACTATCAGTCTAATTATATTATAGACTGGACGTCATATTATCTGTCGCTAATGCCATTAATCCTGTGGTCCACATACTTTTCCATTTGCTGAATATTTAATGTACTTTTAGCTAAAACAGTGCACAGATTTATATGTAAGTTTGGGTCATTCTTCTTTGCAACATAGGTAAAAGTCTGAGCATATTAAAAAATTATATAGATAAACAATCGATTTAATTTTTAAGCTGTACATGGTTTATTTTCACTTTGTTTTAATTAAATAATTTGGCATACAACACTGAATGTCATAAATAAATAAATTGCCTACATATTAATTTATCTTTTTAGTCTTTATATACCATTTATTTATTTATTCAAGAAATGAATAAATAAATGGTTTGTTTGTTTTTTTGAAGTTCTAATGTAACAATAAAACAAGCTTCACACACACACACACACACACACACACACACACACACACACACACACACAAACACAAAATGAGTAAGCGTCTCTCACTATGTCCTTGTGTTTCAGAGCTGTCACCATGACAACAATCCTGACGTTTTGCTCCCACACCATCCTCCAGAAGTCAGCTATGGTGTTGGGCAAAGGACCCTGGGTGCAAATGAAGTCTCTTTCTGATCCTCCACCCTGAATGCAGGCACACATTTAACAACAGGTGCAGACAGATGTAGGTAGGAAGAAGTGATTGAAGTTGAGGAAGTAAATGAGATCTTACAGGCACAAAGTTTGCATTGATGTAGTCGGTGTGTGGATAGGAGTTTTGAACAGAGAGCCTGACCCGACAGTGATCATCTACAACCAGATGTGGAAAAACAGACAAAAGTTTGAAATGTTGCTACGCATTCTTGTTATTCTTTGTATTATAAGAGGCATTGCACTTACACGGTAAAATGAATGGGTATCTGTTCTTTTCCCTGTTGACCTCAGAGTCCCCAGCCCTGGTGGGGAGATCTTTTCCAACTTCACTGAGCTCCTGCATGGACCCACAGACATTAACATGCATGAAAGCACAATCATAAATCTGTTTGCATTTCAAGCTTTAGACTTAAGAGTTACCTCAAACTCCTGTTTAAAGCCTCTGTAGCTATTAGCAGCCAATGCCTGGCACTGCAAATTAAACTCCTGCAAAATTTGCGCTCTTGGGAGAGTTTGCACCCTGTAAAAGACAACTTTTTAAAGAAAAACTAAAAATAACTTATCACTGTGTAACTAACAGTTAACCTTTCTCTTTTTTTTGTCATTGTCCTATATTCATGATAGAACAGCTGACCAGCTGTTGTAAACATTAACGTGTGAGGAAAATGCTCCCAGTAAACATACTTTACTTTACACATTCTTTAAAATGTCACAGACAGGAGTAGAATGTAGTGTTTTTCTTTTTTGTCTTGTATTGGATTAGAAAAATGTACAACATCATCAAGTATAGTCTCTCAGCTGATATTCTCATGATCCTATAAGCACTCTTTATATCCTTACCTCATGACTTTTCAGGAAATCCCGCACTTTAAAAAAAAAAGTTGAGCGTCAATATCACTAAGATGACTCTAGTTTTGATCCTGTAAAAGAAAGAAAAACAAACAAGATAAATTAAGAACAGAATGTTAAAAACTAAAAACTGAAAGCGGTCAACACTGTGTTTACCTTTTGTTTCCCCCTCTCCTCCCACCTCATCTACTAAAACTAATTGTACCTTTGCAAGATAGACAGCTGACACCAGGAAACAGTTTTGGTTTTTCAGAAATTATTAGTTTTGTACAAAAAGCGTCTCTTCCTATTGCCACAAGACAAAAGGCCGTGCTGGCGTGTCGAGCACAGCCCAGCATTCACACTGAACAATTAGTATTACTCACCTGACAAGAAGAAAAACCTGCTCCAACAAGTTGTCAACCCCAAACACCCAACAGCAGAAGCACAAAACACAGTCCCAGAAGCTTTAGTGTCTTGTATTTTTTTTCAGGCTTACCTTTGTAAATGGGCCTCAGATAAATGTTTTAAGTCCGCCACGGTCCGCTGAAGAAAAAGAGTAAAATACTACAGTTCTCCAAGGCATCTTAAAGGTGTCTGCTTTTAATTATGTTCCCTCTGTCCGTCTCTGTCCCTCTTTCTCTTCAGGCAGGAAGAAGTGGGATGGGTGGGGACAGTGGGTGGAGAGAGGAACACTAAATTTCAGAGGAAGGATGTCAGTATACCACAGCGATTCTTTGAATACATCATAAAATTCCTTGTACCTGAGAGAGAAAAAATGTTCTCACTTCTAGTAAACGTAATCTTCTTAGTACAAATCTACAGGCAGATAGATAGGTAGGTAGTGAGGTAGGGAGGTAGGGAGGGAGGTAAGTAGGTAGGTAGGTAGATAGGGAGTTTCCAGTGCAAGCTTGACATATGACGTGTAAAATTTAGTTGGCTAATTTTTAGAACGTCAGCAATAATCTCAATCAGATTTTCCCTGACACTTACATTTCAGTTTATCACTATTTCTGGGATATCTTGGCTGGCTTATTTCAAGCATTCTACTTGTGTTCTGTAGTTCAAATGCTTGTCCCATTACCCAGTCTGTGCTAAGCTTAAGGTCGTGAACTGCTATGCTGATTTTGAGTACTTTGTTCACTCTCTGAATGCAAAGGGCTCTGAGGTAGCAAAACAGCCTCAAACTATGATATTCCCTCAGTCATGCTTCACTGCTGGGAGAAGGGTTAGGTGCTGATCTGTGAACATGTCTCTGTTTTACTCCAAACACAGTACTGTGCATATGCCCAAAAACCTTTGTCTCATCGTTCTGTCCACACTTTCCCAGAAGGGTTGCAGATCATCCAGATGGTCTTTTGCTAAATTGGGATAATGGTGTATATTTTTTTCTTTTCGAGCAGAGTGGTTTCCTTTATTTGTGTATGGTGACCACTAAATGAAGAGTTCAGCAGTTTGCTCAGATGGACTCGTGACTTGTTGAGGGTGTATACTGCCTCCTGCGTTATGACACCCAGCAAAAGCTCTACCTGCATTGCAAGGATTATTTTTTTCATAGTGTGATCTTTGCAGAATATCCACACAAAGGTAGAGCAGCAACATTCCCGAAGTTCCTTCATTTGTAGCCAGTTTATCTTTTTGTGGACTTATGAACACCTGCGTCTTTAGAAAT